TAACACGTGCAAGAGGAAGAAAGGAGCCCTTCAAACAGCCAGCTGGCCCCGTTGGTAGCGCCACTTCAGGGACTAATCCGTAGGCTTGATGGCGTCGTAGGTATAAGCAGAGCTGACACACACAAACCATGTGCTGGCGAATCCCCTGGGAGAGTAGCAAGTATCGCACGAATTGCTTCAGCAAGTCCGGCTAGCACTGTATCTTTCGGGTCGACGGCTGGAGTTGGCTGAGTCGCAGGAGATGGGGTCGCCGCAATAACAGGCGCACTCGTACGAGGGGCAGGAGTCGACGTCGATAGGCCACCACCGACGACAGCGTCGCGAAAGAAGCGACGCCACGCTTGTCGTTGGTGTTGACAGCGGCCCTGGCTCCAACGCTCGGCTCAAAGTTGACACGAGAAATCTACGCGAGGGTACGAAATGTCTGGCATCATCAAGAGAGGATATATTTATGAGCTGTACCGAATAGGTCGGGAGACACAGTCATGAGTCGACTCACTCTGACTGAGTGGGTCCAGGTGAGTAATATTTTCCTGAGTTTGAGTCCTAGTGAGTCCGGTTGAAGAAAATATTCGTGAGTGTGAGTCTGAGTGAGCCGGACTTAGGGAAATTTTGGTTAGTCTTAATCCGTGTGAGTCCAGAGCACAATATATACTTCATCAGTGAGTCTGAGTGAGCTCCCCTTTCTCTTGCTGACCTATTGTCCCATCTACTCATATTTATTACCAGCCTTATCTGGATTCGTGTTTATACTCACGTCTACTCACACGTATCCCAGAGCAGTATTGTCCATACACCTTTCAATGTTTATTGACGAGAGGCGTGAATTACTTAGGAGGGCGTCTTGACCCCTCCCAAGCACGAGCTCTTCCAGAGACGATATTGATAAATATATCTTATGCTGTCATCTCTTTCAAAGAAGATCTCCTTACAGGTTGGAAACCTGTATAGCTAGTATTCCAAGGTACCATATGAAAGGGTGCCAAGAAGACCATCGATTACGTGAGATATTGGTGTTAAAGACCATTGACACAATAGTCGAAAAAGCTAACTTTAGGCTAATGAAATCATGAGCTGACTGACTCGGACTCAGATCAAGCCGTCAGGGTGAGTCTGAGGGAGTAATAGTTTGGTGAGTTTGAGCCCGAAGGTGCCCGGTAGAAGAAAATGTTCGTGAGTGTGCGTCCTAGTGAGTACGGCTCAAGCAAATTTGGTGAGTCTGAGTCCGAGTGGGCCTGAAGCTCGAAATGTATTTCATGAGACAGTCTGAGTGAGCTCTACAATTTTTGCAGACCTACGGTAGCAAATGTTCTTGCGCAAAAGAGAACGCGTCCCGAAGGCATTTTAAAGATTCTGTAATCATAAAATCCCACAATTTAGTCGTATACTTCTCGAATCGATGATTTTGATATTCACAAAGCACAACTTTATTGATATGTATACATCACCTGCAGAGGAAACACGCGCAAAGTGTGTTCTATCTAGGCATTTGTCGTTGGCACACACCATTTCATAAATATGAACGTCATATGCAAAGTTATAATGTTTAACTCACTGATGCCAGGCATTGAAATGCAGTGAGTAATTCAATAGACTGCGCATGAAATAAATACGCGCCGCTGCTGCAGACCTCTCATCGTGACCGGTGTTCCCTTGCTAAGTCAACAAACTCCATTTTCAAGCGATAAATAACAATCGGTAAAAATCGCTTCCTCTGAAACCTCAACTTTAACTGTTTCATGAAACGCAACAATAAAGCGGTTTGCGTATCGTATTGGGTGAGATTTTGCTTTAAAAAACGTATTCTGCGTATAGATATTCCAAGGTGGACTGAAATAATGCGGGCAGAAAAAAAAATCCGCATACTGCAGAGTCCATACGCGTCAGTGCTTTTTTTTTTTTTTGATTATGCGGAAGCTGAGCCGTGAACCTACCGTGAAAAATAGAAAAACCCGTAGGTTATCATATCTATAGTCTATAGATGAATGAAGCTTGTCCGGTGGTGTGCAGTAATTTAAACAGGCCTTGAATGTTTAATTGTGTAGTCAATGCTGTTTTACATCGAAATAAGGCTCTCTTCTTGAAATGTAACTGTTCTACAAAAACACACACACACACACACACACACACAGTTTACCTCAAGGACAAAGCAATGAATGTGATAGCAACAAATTGGAATGTTATACGAAAGAAGGCTAGCAGCTGTTTTTTTTTTTGTCCGATCTCGCATAACTTAGCAAACCGCTTGTTTAATTGAATAAGGCTGCTAGTTTTGGCCCAAGTGGTTTTCGAGCTGTCAAAGCGTTATAAACAAGAAGGCTCCGCCGCTTTGGTCTAGTGGCAAGGTACTCAGCTGCTGCCCCGCATGTCGCGGGATTAAATCCCGGCTGCGGCAGTTTGATTTATATGTGGCGTCCCAAACCACCATATGAGTATATAAGACACCGTAATGAAGGGCTCTGGAAATTTCGACCACCTGGGGTTCTTTAACGTGCACCCAAATCTGAGCACACGGGCCTACAACATTTTCGCCTCCATCTGAAATGCAGCCGAGTACCTCAGCCACTGGACCACCACGGCGGGGCGGCTGCGGCGACTGCATTTTCTATGGAGGCGAAAATGCTGTAGGTCCGTGTGCTCAGATTTGGGCGCACGTCAAAAAACCCCAGGTGGTTGAAATTACCGCAGACCTCCACTACAGCATCTCTCATAATTATATGGTGGTTTTTGGACGTTAAATCCTACATATCAATCAATTATAAACGCGAAGTCAGCGTTGGGAGTACATTTTCCTAGCCGCCTACTGATGTCTGTCGAGATGGAGAACGCGCCAACGAAGTTGCTGCTCGAACGAGGCAGTCCGCCCACCATTTTTTAGACCGGAAAACTTACGAGGCGTTTCCTATCTGCTTTAGGAGCCACCGACTGCAGGCCTCGCTCGCAGGGCGGTGTTCAAAATGTTTCCTAAAATTAACTACAAGAGACTCTGGCGCTGCGATTGTTCATCGACTATGGGAATGATGGGTAGTACAATGATTGTTCTAGTCTTCGTACTTGAGGGCGGCGAATCACACTTTTGACTTCATTTATTGCTGTGTTTTGGTTTGGTTTGAAGGAAAAAAAGGAACCCTTTTGAGCTTTGTGACCCAATTCGAAATGGTAGGTCTAAAAGATTAAGGTGGTGAAGCGTCACTACTGAGCATTAGCTAATTTTTGTTTCGTGACGAAACAGCTCGAAGCCACACGAACACACATGGAGACAGAAGTATGAAGTTTAGAAAAATCCGTGCACTGCCCACATGGAGGAAGGAATAAACTGTATTGTATTCAAAAACGCTGCTTGACTCGAACTTGACTTGCCACCGACTTCAACGCAGCTCAAACGCGTTTCGAACGCACTGTCTTTATGCGGTGCCAGGGCAGCACAAACGCACAGACATGTTTCAAACGCACTGCATCGAAGGCGGTTTCAAGTTCAAGTCACGTAGCGTTTCTGAACTGAATACAGGGGGTCAGCTTTCCTTCCTCCATGACTACTAATCATTCCCATGCTCGCTGAAGCACCATTCGTTGCAGCTCCCATAGACACCAAGCAGGATTTTAAAAAAAAATGCTGGAGTTGAAGCTCCCGCAATGCCTTGCCAGTAGAAGTGAAGCGAGCTTTTGCCACTGCGAAGATGGCGGAAACATGCTCTTTTCTGGTAGTGACCTCTTAAAGATCAAGTGGCTTTGATATGTTAATATAAATTCTACGTTATTTCTATAACGAAATATAGTTGTTTCCGGTGAAATAACGCGAAGAAACGAGTATGGGTGAATGAATCTCCGAAGAACTTTTCCTCCAATAACAGGCTTACCAAAGAACACTAGTAACACCAAGACGCACTTGGATCACTATGTGACCCGAAAAAGTTTCCACATTAAGCTTGTTGGGCATGCGAGGGAAATGCTCCGTTCTTAATCAATGAACGGTGATACTTTATCATGACCCTAGTAAGATGGCCGCCGCTGCCACCATCGTGCCATAGGCATGGCTTCACTCCTGGACAATCATTTCCACTCCAGCAATTTTTTTTTATCCTCCTTGATAGACACTAGCGTTAGAGTTCCCTCTAGTGGATATGTAGGAAACTCTATGGCGGTGTTATCACATGCATGATTTGTGCGACGGAGGTATGGCCGGCTCGTTTCATCCCTGCTTCAGCCGCGTTCGTAGCCAGCGCTTGCGTAATTCTACTTGCGCCTAGAACATATGCGCGGGGAAGCATTATCGATTTGTACTTTGTACAGAAAATGACGGCAACGGTTAATACCCACTGAGAGCATCCATATTATTTCTCTCGCGATAAAAAAGCGTTCTTGCTTGATCGAGGTACGGTGTTGTAAGTACGTCTCTCGAAACAAAGAACGCGTCGCGGAAAAACGGAGGAAGCGATTTTGCGCATGCAATCCCGCGCACGCTGGAAGTCATGCTTCTACAGCGCAGTGAAATTTGCGAGGAAAGTGATCTGCACAACTGCACAACCAGTCAGTTTTAATAGCGGGAGAAACAACTTCATTCATTTCATTCTACAAGGGACAAGGAGCTGCAAGAAGAAGGCGAGAGATGTTATCCTATATACACGCGTGAAGTTTTCTCTACGACCTCATATCTAAGATATCCTCGCGACTTTTATGGAATGTAGCTGCGTCTGGCAGCCTCCTACAGCTCCCGGCTACATAAAACTCTACAAGGGTCACGGGGTGGTTCTTACATTGCTACAAGTGCGGTTTAGGTCCACTCTGCTAGCAGGACCTAACTTGCAGGCTGATCAGCTTTGGTAAATTTCCCAATGATTTTTTTCTCAGTTTTCGCTACATGCGTTCGTTATAGGCGTCAAACAGAGTCACTAGCGCAAAGTAACCCTTACGAGGTGCTGTAGTTTGAGCGACCCATCTCTAAAACAGTGTCGTGGTTCTATAACAACTCGAACATTAGAAAATAGAAACGCGTCTGGAGGTGAGGAGAAAATTTAGTCATCCTTTATTAACAAGCAGAATACCTCCTCGTTCGTAAACATTTACAAACAAAAACTCTGTGGCGCTGGAAAGTGTACGCGTTTGGCAATGAATCTTCTGAACGCACATATATATTTTTTTTCTCGAAGCTTCTAAGCCACTAAAAACAGTGACGAAGTATTTGTCAGACAGCTTTGGGGTCCTCACTCACTTGAGCTTGGCGGAGCACCAGGAGGATGTGCTCGTACAATGGCTTCAGAACTTTCGACCGACGCTTTTTTCTTTGGTAGAGCTCACAGATGCAGCTTTGTGAGAGAGCATGGCGGTTGCAAGCTGAACACATGTTTGCCGTCGCTCGCGCGTCATTGAGATTTCTCAAGATATTCCGAATCTTTTACGGAATCGGCATTGGAGAAGAAGAGATACTCAAATATCTTAAGGCAAACCTTGCTAATGCAAATCGCCGTATTCGAGACAGTGACCCCCATTCATACACAACACCAGCCCACATGCTGCTTCGCGTTGCGGCAAAACCCTATAGCAGACGAGACAATTATGAGCGTTGCTTGCTAAAGCGTATATGTATACATTGATAAAAACTGTTTCACTGGCAGTGAAAATAGTTCGCCATTTCTGGGGCAATGAAGAAAATACGAAACTAGTATAAGTAGCACGTAAACATTGAGCATACGGTATAGCTTATTTGTCGCCCCGAGACTTGCGACGGAAATAGTGACCGCCGAGGCCATTGTCCACCAACTTGGCGCGCACATTTCGTCACTACTCCTGAGGGTGACGTTCTTGTTCCGTGGTGGGAGATGTCTGCCTTCTCGAAATCGGTGCACTGTTCCCGTATGGCGGCCTAACTGGAGGTGTCACGTCGACTAGACTCTGTGGACCGTCGCTCGGAGGCAGTGGGTGGCGGCTGATCAGCCGTGCCTGGTCCGGATCATGAATCTGCTGCGGTGTTACTTCCTGCTGACTACCGCACGGACCACCGTCTTCCTCCTCCGGCACAGAAAACGGCATATCGCCTTCTGCCGCTTGCTGGCTAATCGCACAGTCTACATCCATGGTGAGTTCCTGTAGGGCCAAATGCCGCCAGAGGCCTAGCACCACGGGGTCGTTGCCTGCATCGTAAGAGAAAGGACATAGATGAACTAAGAGCCCCGATGTTTCATAAGTTTTCGCAATGCAGGCATATATATTGATCTACAGAGCCATTGCCTGCGCCGTTAGAGAAAGAACATTAAGCGACTCCTTAAGGCCTACGGCACACTTTATCGGGCGAGTGAACGACGTCATATGTCGCGGACCCGTGTCACTGAAATAACTTGCAATCACCGCAAAAAAAAGTCTAATCGATCGAATTTCACGCGCACGCACATACATGTACGCTGGCACAGATGACGCATCAGTTCGAGCCATCTCCGATGCTGTCTTTTCAAATGTGCGTGAAACAGCGAACTTGTTTTCTCAACAAAAAAAAAAAGCGCTGGAACACGTTTATTAAATTCGCTGCATTTTGTTGAAACTGAATTTTTGTGACTGTGGAAGCAGTATTTCGATTTAGGGTGAGAATTTTCAAATTAAGTCTTGATAATCAGCTATAAAACAAACAGAGCCATAAGTTCGCAAATTCTTAAAGAGGTAGCGACACAAAAAGAGTCAATTGTAGTTTTCTTGCGTTCAATGAAAATCCAAGCGCTCAAGAGTCCCCAAAATGTATGCTATATAAGCGTCAGTGCAACCCAAAGAAGTAATTAGAATGCGTTTTTCTAATGTTCATTTCAGTTCCGACTGTACCATGACATCAGTATGAGCTCGTCACGGGCTCACGCAAACAATCTCATGACGTTTCCACACTTTCACCCCACACCGTGGCTCCGTTGGTGACGTACAAGCGACCATTTTGGAAGTTTTGGTGGCTGACGTCATCAGAACCTGCCATAGTGCTGCGCGGCGTCACCAGAGTTGGTACCGTGGCCTGAAGTCCAGATAACGACAATGCCGGTAGGTGCGCCAAGAGAAAATCGACTTCAACGTCAAAAGAAAATATCTTCACAACATTTGCATGAGCTTCAAACTAGCCTACTCTGTATACAGGAGACTTGTATCGCACAATAAGTTCGCCTTCGAATAATGGTGTCAGTATCCATTTAAATCGGCACCAAAAAGCAATATCGCCGCTGAGTAAACCTAATATATTGAAACATCTTAGGCGAACCATTTCAAATTCATTTGCGGCTTACGGGCTCAGTAGCAAAAGATAGGCCCAATGGCACACAGGTTATATATTTCAGCTAGATGTATAATTCGTAAACATTGTCCGCTATAAATGTAGTTCACAGTTGTGATATAGTTCCTCGTATTATTAATCAGTTACAGAGTTCTAATTTCCATAGTTGCTTTCGTAAAGGTTTCTAGATTTTCAGCAATCTTTAAGCAAAAGCTTAACGACTTAAATAATAATTTCGCTTTATCCTATGCGCACAAATTCTGTCTCACGTAGCTATAAAAACAACCAATTTTTTAAGTGGTTTACCGCAACTGAATAAAACCGGGATATCGTTTGCCGTCATTTGGCGCTAATTGCAGTATTTTATGTTGTGTCTAATTTATTATATAACCAAGAACAATTATGCAAATTGTTTATTATTCACTTCAGCTTCAAATAAGCTTCGTTGCGCTGTAAAGGGTATTCTGAAACGACCAACCCATTTTTTTTGGAGCAACGTATACACGACTAAAATTTTTCCGGCGTTTAAATAAATCCGCAAAATACGAAATAAAACAACGTAACTGCGCTCTCCGGCTGCATAACAACGCTTTCAACGACGCTTCGAACGAACCAACCATGCGCGCGAAAAACCAATTTCTGCGTTTTCGTATTAATTCTCGTATTAATTATGCTCTGTGTAAGGTGCTTTGTTTTAATAAGAAATAATGACATTAGTAAAAAAATGGCGGTGGCTTTGCTCAGCTATGCCAGGATATACGTAGCGTTAGCAAAGGTTCAGCTGATTATTTTTCCTTTTCCATGGCTATACCACAGTGGCAAACGCCAGTCAGAGGCGCTATCAAGTGGCTTCAGCGCAGTGTCAGATGGCGACTGCACAGGGAAGGCGCGCGCGTCGGCATCCATATGTCTACCAAGGCTATGACAGCACTCCACACCGGCAGCGGCGAGTCGCGCGCGGCCTCGGCCGAGTGGGAGGGAGGTGCCGGCTCCGGTATGTGACACCACTGATCGTCTGCGCAGCGCATCGAATTGCGCATACACCGGCGGCAAGCCGCGCGCGGCGGCGGCGGAGTATCATAGCGCATGCGCATACCAGTGTCACGCGAAATTGGCTCAGCGAGGCCAGTGTAGCGAACGCTACAAAAAGCCACCGCTTTGCCGCAAAGGCGAAGCAATAAACGCGATAGCAACAAAATGGAAGGTCACGCGCAGAATGACAAGCAGATCGAAATGTTCCCCACGTTTCTCACGCACAAATGACGCACGAAACGTACTCACAGGTACAGATGAACGCGAATAAGCGTCTCAGTTGTTACTTCACTGTGTCTGAAAAGCGAGTCCTTTTCGCAAACGGAGGCTGTGCAACAATTGCAGTGACCTTTGTACGCCCCGTAACTACAATGGAATCGTTCCAGTGCAAGCCCAACGCAGCCAATGCGTATAATCCTCCCCACCGGGAGATGAGGGTGCGCGAGAGATCGTCCACTCTACTCCCCTTCTCTCCTCTCTGCGGGCCAAAGTACGCGCGAAAGATGAGAGCCGCCGCGCGCTTATTGCGCCATCTTGCTGATAATGCTGAAAACACGATAGCCCCCCCCCCCCTCCGAGATGCCCGCCAACAGCGGTAAGTGGTAAATATAGCTTAGCGTTCGAACGCTGAAAAAGGTACCGCTCGGTGACTCGGTGGTTGACGTCTCGCATTCCTGACGCCGAGGTCCCACGTCTGATTCCGCGCCCCGGAGTATTTGTCTGGTTTTTTTTTCTTTCTTGGGTTTCCATATATTTAGACACGTATACGGTGCATGACATCGACGCTGACGCCGGCGGCGAAATCCAGCCGAGAGTGTCCATATAATTGCTATCGCAATAAAAGAGTTGAGCCACTACGTTTAACAAACCTAAGGCAGCGTCTCCTGCGCCGCGCAGCAGCCATCTCACACATGCAGAAGTGGCTCTTGCGTGACACGGAAGTGACATCACTTTTAAAAACTAGATTAAGGATATTGAAATGTATAAATTATTTTGTATAATGCATTAAACCTACACAAATGTTACTAAATAAGTGTTTGACGAGTCAGTTAACGTTTATTTGTAAGCATTTTAAATCTAGGGGGCAACTGCGGCTGCGAAAGGTATCAGTGAAAATGACGGTACTGCGATATGTGGTGGTGATAACGACTTTATCGAAAACTGACAAATTCGTAGCCTGTGACTAGGCCGCCCCCAAGAAGTACCGGATACCCTGTCTCCTCGCTGCCTAATGGGCTTGCTGGATGGCCCACCGTTGATCCTGGACGTTGGAGTTGCGCAGCGCGGCCGAACACTGCGCCGCAGCTTTATCTGGTGTGCGCCATGAAGTTTCTCAGTATGAAGCACCGAATACTGCTGTTGGATGTGCTGAATTTTTTGGATTGCTATGTCAAAACGTTGTGCTGTCGCAGGTGAAAGTGTCCTTGCTGCCAAGTAACGCATTTTGCTTGTCGCGAAAGGCAAGTTCGCCGATCAAATGAATGTTTTTACACAGTCCACGTGGGAATATCCGGTTGAAAATGAAACCGGCTGCAAAGTGTTTTTTTACGCAGCTTAATTGTGATCTCTGAAGGCCAAAGCTCCCGCATTGTAAGCCTTTTCGCTAAGGGTGAACCCGTGCGGCCGGTTACATCATTTGGTAGATAAATGCTGCCGTGCTGTCACATACAGCAAGACAAGAAAACTAATCGGCACTGTTTTGTAGGTAAGTGGGCTAACGCAGTAGGAAGTTGCCCTTGGACATAGTTTATGAAGTGCTGATCGCCTAGATCATTACGGTGTCCCGTCAGTACCTCGTCAGGTGGTGACGGTACGCTGAGCGACATAAAAAGGTTTCCTGTTGCATATTCAGCGTAGCTACGGTGCAGTGAGTATTTGTCATCAGAACTTTGATAAACCGTGCAGATCAACATTGTTGACGCGTGTACCGGATAAACAGATGCAGCCAGCTACATTTGAGTTTAGCGTGTCCTCCTCCGTCTCACCGATGAGGACGATTAGTTGATTGATGATATGTGGAGTCCCAAAACCACCGCTGGATGGATGCCGGCCATGAACCGATTAAACCGCCGAGCGTCCAAGGAAGAGTTCCACCATTATCCCACTGGTTTACTTGGCCAGTTGATGTAGGAACTATGCAGAATTGGCTAGGTGATTTGGTAAGCACCTGTAATCCAACTTCGAGGAGGCCTCAGCATGGGATGGCTTTCCTTGTGAGTGGTTTTGATGACGTACCGCTATGGCCGGGGGAACTTGCAAGCACCTCTAATCCAGCCAATTAGGAGGCCGTGGTACGGGTTTTGGAACCTCACTGCTGGTTCGGTGATGATTTAAAACCATTCGTGGCTCAGAGGTGCCGGGACGGTATGGGTTGTCGCGTGCCCATGTAATCGTTCGCGTGCCCATGTATGGGCACGCGAATGTGTCGCGTGCCCATGTATGGGTTGTCGCGTGCCACTGAGCCCCCTCCACCTCCACATGGTGCGTCACGGGTAACGTGAGGGTGTCCTGAAATACCAGAGCAGCTAAGGTGCCGGGACGGTATGGGTTGTCGCGTGCCCATGTAATCGTTCGCGTGCCCATGTATGGGTTGTCGCGTGCCACTGAGCCCCCTCCACCTCCACATGGTGCGTCACGGGTAACGTGAGGGTGTCCTGAAATACCAGAGCAGCTAAGAGGGGGAGCTCAAGCTGCTGACCTGGAATCGTCGGGTCAGTGGCTGTAGTGAGGGGACAACAAAGTGGACCTACATGATTCTTCATGTACCCTCCGCACCCGGCAAACTAAGCGCGTGCTGCCGACCCCCTTCTGCTGCGCTACGGGGGATGTGCCCCAAAGGCCCAGTGGTCTGAGTCCGCT